CATATTTGTGTGGGTCTAATCTGGGTTCTCTGTTCTGTACCATTGATCTATCTGTCTATCCCTCTACTAACACCACACAGCCTTGATTACTGTAGCTATATAACGAGTCTTGAAATCAGGTGGACTGATTGCTCCCACTCTATCCTTTTTCAAAATTGTCTTAGCTGTTCCAGTTTCTTTGCTTTTCTATGTATATTTTTGAATAATCTTGAGGGATTTATACACACACACACATATGGGGGCTCTGGTAGCATAGTGCCTAAGACACTTGACTGCTAACCAGAAGGCTGGCTGTTCAAACCCACCAGCCACTTCTTGGAAGGAAGGTTGGGCAATCTATTTCCATAGTGATGTTGTTGTTGTTGTTATGTGCCGTCGAGTCGGCCCCGACTCATAGCGACCCCTCCTTGGGTTTCCGAGGCAGTATCACTACGGAAGTATCCATAGTGATACTGCCTTGGAAACCCAAGGAGGGGTCACTATGAGTCGGGGCCGACTCGACGGCACATAACAACAACAACAACATATATACACACAAACATGTATATGTATATATGTGTGTATATATGTATAAATATGTATGTGTGTATATAATGTGTATATTTGTATATTTATATGGTTTGTTAGTATTACTCCTAAGTATTTTCATTATTAATTATAAATTACATGATATGGTATTTTTAATTTTGGTGTCTACATCTTCATTGCTAGTATATAGAAATACAAATGGTTTTAACATGTTTACCTTGTATACAATGACTTTGCTGAACTAACTTTTTAGTTCTAGGGGGGTTTTATTGTTGTTGTTTTTGTTTTAGATTCCTTGGTATTTTCTAGGTAGACAATCATGTCATTTGCAAATAGGTTGTTGTTTCTTAGGTGCTGTCAAGTCGGCTCTGACTCATAGCGACTCTATGCACAACAGAATGAAACATTGCCTGGCCCTGTGCTGGCCCCACAATCCTTGCTATGTTTGAGGCCATCGTTGCAGCCACTGTGTCAGTCCATCTTGTTGAGGGCCTTCCACTTTTTCACTGACCCTCCACTTTACCAAGTGTGATAATCTTCTCCAGGAAATGGTCCCTTTTGATAACATGACCAAAGTAGATGAGAAGTCTAGCCATTCTCACTTCCTAGGAGCATTCCGGCTGCACTTCTTTCCATGACAGACTTATTAGTTCTTCTGGCAGTACATGATACTTTCAGTATTCTTTGGCAACACAACTCAAAAGTGTCAACTCTTCTTCAATCTTCCTACTTGATTGTCCAGCTTTCACATGCATAGGAGGCTATTGAAAATACTATGGCTTGGAGCAGTTTTATTTCTTCCAGAAGTTTTATTTCTTCCTTTCTGATCCATACACTGTTTGTTTCTTTCTTGCCTTATTGCACTGACTAGAACATCTGTTACTATCTGGAATAAGAGTGGTCAGGGAGGAGATCCTTGCTTTGTTCCTGATCTTAGGGGGAAAGCATTCAGTCTTTCACATTAACAATAAGTCAGCCGTACAATTTTTAAAAGAGTATAAAACATATTTTTTATCAAGTTCAAGAAGCTCCCTTCTATGTATTTTTCTGAGAGTTTTTTTTTTTTCTTTTTTTTTAAATCATGGACAGGTATTGGATTTTTCAAATGTTTTTTTCTGCATCGATTGATAAGATTTTTCTTCATTGGCTTTAATATGGTAGATTGCTTTGCTTGATTTTTGAATACTGAACCAGACTTGCATCCCTAGGATAAACCCTACTTGATCATGTTGTGCAAATCTTTTCATATTGCTGAATTCTATTCTGCTGATACATTGTTAAAGATTTTTATGTATATATTCATGAGGAAGATAGTTTGAAGTTTTCTTTTTTCAGTGCTGTCTTTGTCTGGTTTTGGTATCAAGGTAATAACAGCTTCATAAAATGAATTGGAAAGTATTCCCTCCTCTCCTATTTTCTGGAAGAGACTGTGTAGAATCGATATTAATTCTTTAAACATTCAGTAAAATTCTCTAGTGAAACTATCTGGGTCTGGAGATTTCTTTTATGGTTGTCGTTGTTGTTGTTATGTGCCGTCAAATAGGACCCGACTCATAGCGATCCCTCCTTGGGTTTCCGAAGCAGTATCACCATGGAAGTAGATTGCCCCATCTTCCTTCTGAGGAGTGGCTGGTGAGTTTGAACCACCAGTCTTCTGGTTAGCAGTCAAGTGCTTTAGGCACTAGGCTACCAGAGCTCCCAGAGCTTATGGAAGATTTTCAATTGCAAATTCAATTTTCTTATCAATTATAGAATATTCAAAGGATTTATTTCATATTGGGTGGGTTGTACTACTTTGTGTTTTCCAAGGAATTGATCCATTTCACTCAAGTTGTCAAATTCATGTTTGTACAGTTGTTTATAGTATTTCTTTACTATCCATTTGATGTCTTATGGTTCTGTAGTGATATCCCCTGTGTCATTCTGAAATTGATAATTTGTGTCTTCTCTTTTTTTCTTTGTCAGTCTTGCTAGAGGCTTGTGAGTTTTATTGATCTTCTCAAAGAACCAGCTCTTTCTTTCATTGATTTTCTCTATTGCTTTTCAGTTTTCACTTTAATTTATTTCTGCTCTTATTTTTATTAGGCCCTCTGGTGGCATAGTGCACAAGGCCTTTGACTGCTAACCAGGAGGCTGGGGGTTCAAACCCACCAGCCACTCCTTGGAAGGAAGACTGGGCAATCTACTTCCATAGAGAAACCAAAAAAAAAAAAAAAACTCACTGCCATCAAGTTGGATCCAACTCATAGCGTCCCCTCCTTGGGTTTCTGAGGCAATATCACTACGGAAGTAGATTGCCCAATCTTCCCTCTGAGGAGTGGCTGGTGAGTTTGAACCACCAGCCTTCTGATTAGCAGTCAAATGCCTTAGGCAGTACACCACCACACTGCCTCGGAAATCCAAGGAGGAGTCGCTATGAGTTGGAACCGACTTGACAGCAGTGAGTTTGGGTTTTTTGGTCATTCTGTGTGCTTTGGCTTTATTTCACTCTTCTTGTGCTAGTTTCTTGAGAGCTTAGATCATTCATTTGAGACTTGTCCTCTTTTCTAGTGTAAGCATTTACTGCTATAAACTTCTACGTCAGCACTGTTTTAGCTGCATCCCACAAACATTGATATGTTGTATTACATTTTATTCAGTTCATTGTGCTTTCTGTCATTTAATAGATTTTCTTTTTTTTTTTTTTAGATCGGTTTTTGGTTTACAAGAAAAACTATGCAGAAAGCACAGTTTATATATACCCCTTTGCACCACTCTGGAAGAGTGGGAGGGAAGGGCCAGATGTCTGAGTTTCATAGGACTGCTATAACAAAGCACCACAAAGTGGGTGGCTTAGGAGAACAGAAATTTATTGTCTTACAGTTCTGGAGCTGGGAGTCTGGCATCCAGGACCAAGGTCAGGTATATCTAGGGTATGGCAGATATTGCAAGGGCCCTGGATGCCATTTGAGAGGGGGCGCCAATGAACAATTTCTATTTGCCATCACAGTTTCCATTGCTGCGAGAAATCATTCAGCAATTCAAAATTAATTGCCATAGATGCTATTTTCCCTGGATATAGCCCATGGTCAGCCTCAGCCCTATAAACCTGGAAAAGCAGGCAAGGAGTTAGAGGACCACTGCCATCTCAACCCTTGGTTTTGTTCCCACTCACCCCTTGGCATGAGCCTGAGATGCCCATGTGGGGGTCTCCAAGGACTTTCTCCATCCTGCCCCAGCCCACCCCCACAACTGTCTTTTTCTAGACCAGAGCCTGAGGCCAAGGCCTCCCATCTGGTCACAGTCCTCAGTGTCCTCTACCCTGCCAGGCCTTTTGCTCAGAACTGAGAGGTTGGGCCAGCATGGGTCCAGGAGGAAACTACCCCCTGGACATGCCCCCTCTGGACATGGGCCAGGGTTTATAGCAGAAACTCCCACTACCAAAGAAATCACAAAAAAGTAACAAAGAAAGCAGGCACCTCCAGAGTTAGCAAACTGAAGAAGGAAAGCTGAACATTAACTGAAGAGGAGAAATCACCTCAGGATAGCTGTGAGCGTGGTGGAGGACCTTCCCCACAGCACTCAACATGGAACAGAGGGGACAACCAGAGGAGGGTGTCAAAGCAGACATGGTGCCTGACCTAGAGAGGTTGGGAGAGAGCCTGCCCATTGCTATCAAGGGTGGGGAACCAGAAATGTGAAATTGGTGTAGAAGGCTTGAGGAAAATGGTTGCCCCAGCCCACACTGGGCCAAGGTGCAGAGCAAGCAGCAGCAAGACCCAGGGGCCATCTGAGAGGTGAGCTTGGCCTACCCAAGCTATAGACAAAGGTTCCTGGGGCTGTGCTAGTTTAACTAACACCAGCCCCTCACAGAAAGATCCCCGCCCCCAGCCCCCACACACAGACGAGGAGCCTGTCCTGGAGGGCCTGAGGAGCTTCCACTCTTGAAGCCCATTGCCTCCTTGGTCTATGCCTGCCCCTCTCAAACCAGAACCTCAGCTTGACTCTCGGCTCTGCAGCCCCCTTCCCTCCTGGAGCCTTTGTCTTTAGGACCAGCCTCTCTCTGCTCTCTTCATGACGGAATCTTAGCTCTTCCCAACAGGCCTGTCACTCTGGTTTCACCCTTAGGTCTTGGGAGGGTTTCCTGGCCCAGCGCAGGTCCAAAGAACCCCACCTGCCTATTTGACCAAGGCTGTAATCCTGCATAGTGGCCCACTTGGCCTAGAGGCTGGGATTACTCTTGGTCCTTAGCCCAGGGCCCATCTCCAGGGGTCAACAGATGCTGGATGGCTGGGCAGCAGAGTGACCAGTGTTCTCTCAGTTACCTGCCCCTGCACAGGGAACAGGGCTAGAAAGTTAAGTACATGAGGGTTGAATGGCAAGAGAGATAGGGGTTGGCGTGCAACAGGTTCTTGTGCAGAAAACACGTAGGCAGGCCCTGAATCAAAGGGCATCTGAAAGGACGCATTCCAGTTGTTTTCAGTCTGACCTCTATGGCCCTGAAACGGGCCCTGGCCACTCATGGGCCCTATGTGGTGGGCCAGATCCTGAGCCTGAAGTTCGTGGACACTGTGTATGAGGCCAGTGTTCTCTGGGGTGATGCCTTCTGGAAGCACAGTAGGGCAACATGTCTGCACATACCACTTGCTCCAATAAGAGCGCAGAAAGGAAGTGGAGGTATGACCTGTTTGGTGGGAGGGAGTCTAATGTGGGATCACATCTCAGGTGAAAGCAAGGAAACCACCAAAATGTCTGCTGATAGAGGGCATTTAGAAACCACCTCTACAGATGACCCCCAGGAGAAGGGTGAGGTAACCATGCACCAACCTGGACAGGTGTCTGCAATATGTTGCTGAGAGAAGAAAAGCAAGTTGCAGTGAAATATATACAGGGTGATCCAATCATTGTGAAGAGAGAAAAGAAGAAAACCTCTCCATTTGGAAGGCTGCCTAACAGGTGAGAACCCTGGAGCAGGTGCGGGACAGTGAGATAGGGGGATTTCCTATTTAAGCCACCCACTTAATGTGGTCTGAAAGTTAATAATACACATATGTTTGTTTTCATATTAAAAATAGAAAGTAAAATATAATGGAAAAATACCATTCATGAAACCAAACCAAACATCAGATAATTAAGAGTAAAGATGAAAAGAAAACTGCAGTTCCCATGTTGTTTTAAAAAGAGAAGAAATAGAAAGACATACCATATTCCTGGATTGAAAATCTTAATCGTATTTTTAAAAGTTATTTCTTCCACCAGAATTAGATGGTGCCCAGCTACCCCTGTCAACCACTCAGAAAGGGACCAAAATAGGAGATCCTGAAGAGAGTGGGAGAAAAATGTGGAAAAAACTTAAAATCATAAAATAAAGACCAGGCTTACTGGTCTGACAGAGACTGGTGAAACCCCTGAGACTATGGCCCCTAGTCATCCATTGGGCTTGGAATTGAACTTGTTCCTGTGGCTTCCAGCCAAACAATAGACAGGCTTATAAGGTGAACAATTACACCAGGTAGGTGCACTGCTTATAACAATCAACCACGGGAGATCAGAAGGGCAGAATTTGTACAGGGAAATAGCTCAAAGGGTAGGAATGCATAGGAAACAAGGACACAGGGAAAAGGTAATCACAGGGAGAAAGTGGGAAGAGAGCTGTTACATTATGAGGATTGCAGATCAATGTCACGAAACGAAATGTATATGAACTATCGAATGGAAAATGAATTTGTTCTATAAACTTTCACCCAAATCACAATTAAAAAAAGAAAGAAAGAAATCAACATTGTTATAATAATAATAATAAATAGCTCTTCCTTAATTAATCTATACATTTAATGTATCTCTGATCAAATTACCAAGGGATTTCTTTTCAGAACTTTAATGTTCTTTTTGCAGATGATTGAATAAAAAGTGATGAGACATTTTTAAGACTATCATGCCATACCAAATATTTAAATATGCTATAAAGCTACAATAAATGTAACAGATGGTATGATGCAAAAATCAATAGGTTACTGGAGTGAAATACAAAGCTCCGAGAGCAAGCCAATCATTCCTAAGAATTCATTGTGTGCTAGATGCATCTTGCTGGATACATGGGGGAGTTGATGGTCTCAGAGACAGTTAGCTAATCATTTTCAAATATCATACCAAAGATGAAAAAGTTCTAATCAAAGTAAAGATATAAATAGAAAATGAAGTAAATAAAGGTGTTTATATAATCTTGGGGAGGAGAGGAACTTTTAAAGCATGATATAAGATGTGCAAACCATAAAAGAAAAGACTAATAGATTGGACTTAATCATGCAAATTGTTTGTATATAATAAAATACGAAAATAGATATAGAAGCTGGAGAAAAATATTTGAAAGTTATACATGAAGATGACTTAAAATCTTTAATATATAAAGAAGCCTTTCAAATCAATAATAATAAGAAGAATAAGATGAATGCCCAAAGGTTAAAAAAAGAAAAAAGTATTTGTACACCAATATCATTGAAGTAGAACTAACAATAGCCAAAATATGAAAACAACCCAGTGTCCAGCAACAGATGAATGGATAAACAAACTGTGGTATATCCACACAATGGAATATCATTCAGTTGTAAAGAGAAAGAAATGAAGTCCTGATATAAGCAACAACATGGATGAACCTTGAAAATATTATGCTAAGTGAAATGAGTCACACACAAAAGGACAAATAATATGTGATCCCACTTATATGAAATATCTAGAGTAGGCAAATGCATAGAGACCAAAGTATATTAGTGGTTACCAGAAGCTGAAGGGAAAGGGAGAATAAGTCATTGCTTAGGAGGCACTGGGTTTCTGTAAATGGTGACAGAATAATTTGGAGACATATAGTGGCTGTGGTTGTACAACATGTTGTAGGTAATCGACATCACTGAATTGTACAGGTGAAAAAAAGTTGAATTGGCAAATGTTTTGTTATAAATATTTTTATCAGTAAAATAAATTTTTAAAAAAGAAAAAGTAATAAAGAGGAAAAACCTAATTTTAATTAAAAGTTTGTCCCATGACTCAATAGTATCAAGGGCTGTATCTCCTTTGTGCCTTTTGAATATCGGATTTTGGAAATATATAATCTACACACAAATAATAAAACTGGAATTTCATGAGACACAATTTCATGCATAGTGTTTATAATGTATCATAAAGGGGCTATCCTTTTGCCTAAATGAGTTTGGTGGAAGTACTGGGTAGAACAAGTGAAGCAGACCTGTTATTTCAGGACTACTTGGGGACTTAAATGCACTGATGGAAACTGTGCAACTTCAAGCAGGGGACTCAGACGTGGTGTGTCCCAAACAAATTTGACCAGGCAACCCTATCCTCACTGCTCTCCTGTGCCTGAGCCAGATTGAGACTGGGTGCTACTGAGGATGGAAAATTAATTCTAAGACAGGTGTTTTAATGGATCTCATCTAGCAGCCTGGGAGGTACAATTATTAAAGTGTTTGGCCAGAAACCAAAAGGTCAGTGGTTCTAATCCACCAGATGGGTCAGTCTGTATCCATAAAAGTAACCCTAGGGCAGTTCTACCCTGTCCTGTAAAGTCAGATTTGACTCAATGGCAATGGATTTTTGGGGGTGGGGTGGTGTGTGGTAACAGGGTTTGATCATCTAGCAGCAGGGAAGACACAGCAGTTCCTCCTTTTATCCAGGAGAGGGGGATGTTTGGTTATATTTATGGGTAGCACAATAACTTTTTTTTTTTTTTTTTTTAGTAATTATTTTGTCTCACCCAGTCATGGTCACAAAGTGACCTTGTCTGATGTTGGTGATGTGTGAAATGTTTACATCTCACAGGAGAACAAGACCCTGCTAGTAAGGGACAGGCCACCTCCAGCAACACCCACTCACACTGTCCACACTTTATTCGGAGCTGCTCAGTTGTTACCTCATATCTTTGTTCAGTCCCAGGGTCCCAGCCAGGACACCACATGGCATTTAGTCATCAAGTCTCCTCAGGCTCCCCTTCGCTGTGACAGTTTCTCCAATTTGAGAACACATGGCTGAAGTGTGTCTGTCAGGTTTCTCCAAAGTAAAGTAACTCCTCTCTTTCCACTTCATCCCCCTAATGCCTCCTCCCCATTCCTTCCAGTCACACAGAACATTCTTTTCTTTCTCCCTACTTCTTTAGCTCCACCTTCACCTTGAACAGACTCCTCACTGAGATCAGAAAGCACTACTTCCATCTCAGCACTGAGTGCTGCCTTCTCCCTATTCCATCCTCCAGCCCCTCTGCACAGGTATTTTAATGGATCTCATCTAGCAGCCCTGGTGGCATAATTATTAAAGTGTTTGGCCAGAAACCAAAAGGTCAGTGGTTCTAATCCACCAGATGTGGCAGTCTGCATCCATAAAAGTAACCCTGGGGCAGTTCTACCCTGTCCTGTAAAGTCAGATTTGACTCAATAGCAATGGATTTTTGGGGGTGGGGTGGGGCCCTGTTCCCTTCTCCTTGAACCCCATTATCATCCCAAATGGAAACCTGCATCGGCTTTTTAAACTCTCATTCACTCAAAGGCCAAACTCCTCTTCCCCACCTCAGCCCTGAGCACCCATCTCCCACCCTGAGTGCCCCCTAGAGCCCTCAGCCTATTCCCCACCCTTGTGTTGTCTCAATGAGCACCTTTTCTCCCCCTTCCGTTTCCCTACTGAGTGCCTTTCCTGTCCCTTCCTCCTCGACCTGCCACCTCCTTCCCATCCTGAACCCCCCAACACTGAGCTCCCTTACTGCTGAGCACCATCTCCCCACCCCCCGCACTGAGTCTCGAGCCCTCACCTTCACACCCCTTCAAGCTCCTCTCTTGCCCCCGCCTACGCCTTCCCACGTGAGCGCCCGCGCACCTCGAACCTCACACGCCAATATTGCCCCTCGCCCACTGCTCTTCAACTGCTCACCCCAGAGATCCCTGGTTCTTCCGGCCGGACCTCATTCCTTGTGGTCCTTCCTGCTTCCCTGCTCCCATGGCCCTGTCCTCCCCGAGGACCCTGAGCTTGGACCCTTTGGAGGGATCAGACCAGGACTCTGAACCCACCAGCGGTCAGGACAGTCTGGACAAGGAACAATGGGGGTCGTCCTGTGGCATCGGTAAGCTCTTCTCCTCCCGAGCCATCCCGGCTTTTGACTAAGGTGATGGCAGGGATGGCGTAGTGGGAATGTCACCTCAGCAGATTATTAGCTGGGGCCTCAGGGACATTGTGGGAGGTAGAAGCATGGGGCCACTGAATGCTCCTAAGTCTCAGGTGAACACAGGGGCTGTGGTGAACTCAACCTCTATTAAGCTCCCTCTCCTCCCCTTTGTGGGCCCACTGTGGTAGGCCTGGGTGGGGAGGGAGTGATGGAGACAGCTGCAAGCCTCACACAAGGGTCTTAAGTACCCCTCTCAACACTGGTGCTCCCCAACGATCTTCTTCCCCATCATCTACAGAGCCTGGAGGGGTGGGGGTCACAGTGGGAGTCTTGCTAGGGTGGGAGCCAACCTGGGCACTGTCTGCTCAGCCCCCCAGCTTGAGTGTGCCAGGGCTCCCAGATAGGAACTGATAGGCTGTTTTTTCCCTATGTGTGTCCTGTACCCTTTCTCCCTGCATGGCATTTGGGTGGTTGTCCTGCATGGCCACCATCACTGTCGCTTGTTGACCTCTGACCCTGACCAGTCCTGGACCTGGAAGAAGAGCAGAGCATGGACGTGATCCTGGTGGGCTCCAGTGAGCTGTCATGTCCCCCATCACCCCAGCATAGCAGAGGTGGGTTCCCACTTCTCAGACCCCCACACGAGTGTTAGACATGCCTGAGCAATTTCTAGAGCTTCAAACTTCTGAAATATTCCATGTTATTCAGGCATGGATGGGATGGATGGGATCCTGTAGCTCTTGTGACTTAAGATGACACACTTGTGATGCTCACTTCTTGGCCACATTTAAATTGGGAAATAGGATGAAGAACGAAGATGTTCTTCTCATTTTCTTTTCAGATCTTATTGTGTATGAAGTCAGGGTTAAGCAGCGACCCATAGAAGGTGAGTGATCACATACTAGCCCCTGACCAAGCAAACAGAAATATTGGCTTCAGCATCTACACATAGTCATCCCTAGAAGAATGCAGCAGACATCCCTGGTAGCCCAGGTTTCCTGCAGCTTCAATGAAACATGCAATCCAATGTTTTTGTTTGTTTGTTTGTTTCGGTATATTTACAGAGTTTTGCAACCATCATCATGTTCTAATTTTAGAACACTTTTATTGTTTACAATCACTCCCTTCTCCTCTTTCCTACCTCCCCACTTTCAACTCTCCACCATCATTACTAATTGAATAGGGTCAAGCTGACTCTGCCTCAAGGCCACCTCAAGTATGGCAGAGTAGAACTGAGCTCCATAGGGCTTTCAGTGGCTGATGTTTCAAAAGTAATTCACCAGGCCTTTCTTTTGAGGTGCTTCTGGGTCAACTTGGTCTCCAAACTTTTGGTTAGCAGCCTAAGTGACCACTAGTCTACTTTCTCTCTCTATGGATTTGCCTTTTATGGACTCCTTGCATTTCCATTTGAATCTTAGGCTCAGCTTAATTTGATCCAAAAGCTAACTGGAATTTTGATAGGGACCAGATCAATTTGAGGAGTGTTGCTATTTCAATATTAAGTTTTTGAGTGCATGAACATGGCATGTTTTCCATTTGTTTAGATCTCTACCATGTTTATAGTTTTTGGTACAAACTTCTTGGGTTAAATCTATTTCTAAATAAAGTCCCTGGGTGGTGCAAATGGTTAAGCTGAAAGGTTGGTGGTTCAAACCCACCCAGATGTACCTCAGAAGACGGGCCCAGTGATCTGCTTCCAAATGGTCACAGCCTTAAAAACCCTATGGAGCAGTTCTACTCTGCATATGTGGGGTCGCCTTGAGTGGAAATAGATTTGACAGCAACTAACAAGAATTTCTACGTGTGTTTGTTTTTGATGATGTTGTAATATGCATTGCTCTTTAAACATTCATGTTAGACATCTGCATCTGCTGCGGGAGTTTCCAGGTCTGGACGGAGCACCCTCTGTTTGAGGGAGGAATGTGTGTGCCATGTAAGGTAAGCAGGAAGCATGGTGGCTTCATTATGGCCTCCAAGCAAGGAGGAAGAGAGCCAGCGATACTTTACTCTCTGCATAGGACAAGTTCCTAGAATCTCTCTTCTTATATGATGATGATGGGTACCAGTCCTACTGCTCCATTTGCTGTTCGGGTGAGATGCTGCTCATCTGTGAAAACCCTGACTGCACCAGGTGAGGCTCAGGACACCCACGCCAAGGGGCCTGCTCCCATGCGACTGGGTGGCTGGTGGGAAAGGAGCTCACAAGTGCAGAAATGTTCCATCTTTCTTGGTTACTGAGCCCAGGGTGTGGGAATTTTCCCCTAGAAAAGCATCATTCCCTCCCAAGTGTTCAATTTCCATCTCAAATACTGTATTGGGCATAGAGTCTGGAAGTATGAGAGGTGAAGGTGGCAAGAGGTTTGCATTTGTGATTTTTTCTTTTTCTTCTTCTTGTTAGTATTGCCAAGACACAGCTAGGAGTTGAGTGTTGGAAACCCCATACCCCACAGCCAAGGGGTGTGCAAGGTCCAAGGTGTTCATCCCTTGGTCATTACACACCAACCTGAGCCCCATCATGGTGCTTGCCACCTGGTACCTGCTCCCTCTGCCTTTGCTCTAAGTCATTCTTGTATTTATGGCTGCCCTACCCCAAAAATTCTGTCCCCCATCTGGGTGCTTCTGCATTTGGTTTTGCTGAGACTCCTTAAGCCATTTCTTAAGGCTTTGTGGGGAAAATGGTGGTTTAAATGATTTTTTTAAATCTACTATTGCCCATAAATCCCATCTCTCCATCCCCCAGACTCCTGGCTCCTGTCACTCCACACCAACAGCGTCCCTTCCCAGAACATGGGAGCAGGCACTGCTGGGCCAACTTTATCTTTCTAAATGAGCCCTGGGTATGATCTTTGTTGTTCATTCAAAAACAAGAAGTCCAATGTGTCCACAATACCACATTTCCATTAACACCAAACACTAGGCTATACAGATAAACACATAAACACCTGAGATGATCAGTCATCATCATCAGTCACGGTCAGTGAACAGAAGTATACTCTAGACCAAGGATAGATTCAGCTGAGGCTAATCTTGCACAGACTCCAGTGATACAAAATGCCTGCAGACAGAAACAACAGAAGACAGACACAGAATAATCTCTCACAAACATCCCAACACTATGGGAGAGAGAGCCAATAGAGCTACTACCTCAGGACCATAGTACGGGGGGACACCAAACTCAATTGGCACAACAAAATACAGAAAAGCGTTGCTCTGCATCCTACATTGGTGAGTAGCAACTAGGGTCGCTTAAAAGCTTACAAGCAGCCATCTAAGATGTAGCTAATGATCTCCTAGCATCAGAAGTGAAGAAGAACAGAAAAAAAAAAAAGGGGGGGGAGGTATTTAGAAGCAATCAGCCCTAGGACACTGGGTTAGGGTTGGACATAAAACAAAACACAAAAAACAAGGAAGAGGCTTGAATTTTCATAGGTGACCGAAAAAAACCCATTTCAATGACTGTGGCTTTCTGTTTGACTTTAGATGCTACTGTTTCGAGTGTGTTGATACACTGGTCAGCCCTGGGACCTCAGGGAGAGTTCACGCCATGAGTAACTGGGTGTGCTTCCTATGCCTGCCCTTCCCCAGCAATGGACTGCTGCAGAGAAGGAAGAAGTGGCGGGCACGGCTGAAGGCCTTCCATGACCAGGAGGCTACGGTAAGGAGTAGGGAGTGCTTGAGCTTACAGATCAGGACAGAACTGGAGGAGAAATGTGTTGCAACATTGGCAGACCTAAACAGACTATAAAGAAATGCCTGGTAATCTACTTCTGATAACCAAAACCAAAAACCAAACTCACTGCCGTTGAGTCAGATCTGACTCATAGCGACCCTTCCTTAGGTTTCCGAGGCAGTATGTCTACGGAAGTAGATTGCCCAACCTTCCTTTCGAGGAATAGCTGGTGGGTTTGAACTGCCAGCCTTCTGGTTAGCAGTCAAATGCCCGAAAACCAGCCAATGGAAATCCTAAGGATCAGAATGGTCTGATGTGCAGCCAATCATGTGGATGCTCGGGTCTGGGCAGCCATGAATTTGAGCTGACTCGACAGCAGCTAACAAAAACAATGAAAACAAACTTGTATGATTTTCCCTCTGGTTCCAAAAGAAAAAAACCTAAACCAGTTGCCATTGAGATTCAATGCATGGTGACCCCATGTGTGTCAGAGTAGAATTGTGCTCCAGCAGGTTTTTTTTTTTTTTTTTAATGACATTTTTCATGTTGTGCCACCATTATTGCTATCCTTTTCCAAAATATTCCACCACCATTAGGATAAACTCAGTGCCCCCCAAACAAAAGCTTCCCCTTTTCCCCTCCTTCCTACTCCTCTTGTTGTTGTTGTTATGTGCCGTTGAGTCAGACCCGACTCATGGCAACCCCTCCTTGGGTTTCTTAGGCAGTATCACTGCAGAAGTAGATTGCCCCATCTTTCTTCCAAGGAGTGGCTGGTGGGTTTGAACCCGCCAGCCTTCTGGTTAGCAGTCAAGTGCCTTAG